CAGGCCTTCAGATCTACAATCTAGAAGTTCAATGACAACACTCATGTAATTGTCACAAATGTTATTAACTAGTTATCCAAAATTATTCCCTGTGTTGGGAGTGTTATGGTTCAAGTTCAAATGAGTAGAGAATTGGGCTAGTAAGTACGAGACCCAGTTCAAAATCCTCAGTATTGCCAAAATGTCATTCTCAAATCTACCTCCTTGCCGCTCACTACAGAAATCCAAAAGTCTAGAGGTAACCATATGACCCAATGGTGGCCCATAATGCATTAAATGGATCAGATTTTCTGGAAGCACTAGTAGGAAAACTTTTGCTTAGCATCCTTTTGCCTTGCTCCTTGACTCTAGCAGAAAGCTAGATTCACCTTGTTAGTACCATGAACACTAAGAAAACTACAAACAAGCTGAGCCACAGAAGCAACAAAAGGTATTATAAAGAGGGATTAAAATTACATGAGTCAAGTAATGAGTACATTTCCTTGTTTATAAATGCAAAAAACTGAAATGTGGATTCCTATGAAAAGCTACAGATGTTCGGCCTCACAGGCCTGTTACAACTGAATGTTCAAGGTGGGAAGCTGTTTCATTACATGTTTCCTAAAGCTTGAGGTGTGACACTTATGAACAAAGATAAAGAACTACTACTATGCTGATGTAATCTATATGAAAAATATGAAAAATAAAAAAAAATGCAAAAAATTGGCTGCGAAATTGGCTCGGTGGTAGTGTTTGTCTCGCATGCATGAGGCCCTGGGTTCCATTCCTCAGTACTACATAAGCAGAAAAAAGCCGGAAGTGGCGCTGTGGCTTAAAGTGGTAGAGCGCTTGCCTTGAGCTGAGGAGCTGAGGGACAGTGCCCAGGCCCAGAGTTCAGCCCCCACAACCAACAAAAATAAATACATACATACATACATACATGCAAAAAATAACAAAAATAAAAGTAAAATAACAACAGCTTATGGCTGGGATATAACTCAATGGTAAAGTACAGGAAAAAAAGAGGCACTAGATTTATCCCCAACAACACAACAAAGCAAAACAAATCCCAGCTTTCTCAATTTTTATACCTTTTGAGAAAAATCAGTCAGTTCTAATCATTTACAATTGAGAGTAAGCAAACTTCTAAAATTTCTTTTTCCATTATAGAATATCTCCCTTTGAGGAAATGCAAATGAAAACAACACTGAGATACCATCTACCCCAGTCATAATGGCCCACATCCTAAATTCAGCCAATGACAAATGCTGGAGGGGATGCAGAGAAAGAGGAATGAATGAATACTAATACAACCACTTTGGAAAGCAGTCTGGAGGTGTTTCAGAAGGCTAAATATAGAATTCCCTTATGATCCAGCCGTACCACTCCTAGGCATCTACCCTGAACAACAGAAACCAGGATACAAGGATACATGCACCTCCATGTTTATTGCAACACTGTTCACAATAGCCAAGATATGGAAACAACCCAGATGCCCCACTACTGATGAGTGGATCCAAAAATTGTATATCTGTATACAATGGAATATTATGCAGCCATTAGAAATGACAAAATAATGACATTTGCAGGGAAATGGATGGAACTAGAGCAAATCATTTTGAGTGAGGTAAGCCAAGAACAGAGACAAATGGCACATGGTCTCCCTGATATGTGGATGCTAAAGCCAAAATGCAAGGAGATATGACAAAGTAAACCACTCATTTTGTTGTATCATTGCTAAATGACTTCATGTTTTTGACCATATATGCATGCAATAGAGGGAAGCTAGGAGGAGGACGCAGAATAAGTGGGAAACGGAATAACATACAACAAAGGGGCCCATCAGCTGCACTGGACATAGATGAAAAAGAACTAAGCAACCCAAAGACAGCAATGGGAAGGGAAGAATGAGAGGGAAAGAGGCACAGCTTATACTAAGCAAAAGGAAAGAAATGTAAACATTATCTGATGTGGAAGAAATCATTGTATTGTCAAAGCTCATAGAATTCACAAACTTTATAGACCATGATAATGACAATTTGCCTTGTGAAGGTTACAATGTGTTTGTGACTTTAAGTATCACTATTCCACAATACCATGAAATATGTGAAATTTATGTAATCATCTAGTCTCAATTTAAAAAAAAAGAAAAGTGAGAGAAGGGATGGGTTAGGAGCGATGGGTGATAATGTTGTCAGATACCTTGTATTCATATACTGGGAACTTCTTTGTACAACTACTTAAAGATAATAATAAAAAATATTTTTTTTAAAAAAAAGAATATCTCCTTTTGAGTATTGGAGAAATAGTGCTGAGTCAAGTCAGTTGAATTAGACTCACTGACTGAAATCACTTAGAAATGGAAAAACATCTAGACAGCCAGAAAATTTTCTGAGTCTAAGAAATGAGATGGTCTTTAAAGTTTTTAAATTGAGGGCTGGGAAGGTGGCTCAGTGGTAGAGCGCTTGCCTTGCATGCCTGAGGCCCTGGGTTCCATTCCTCAGCACCACATAAGCAAAAAGAAAAAAGCCGGAAGTGACACTGTGGCTCAAGTGGCAGAGCGCTAGCCTTGAGCTGAAGAGCTGAGGTTTTTTTCCCCTTTTTTTTTTTCTTGTTTGTTCATTTATCTGTCTTTGGGTAAAATACAGAAATGGAGGGACAAAGAGTAAACAAATGCAGCAGTGGTACTCACTAGATACTATGTTGAAAATGAACATACACAAATTGTGGGTGAGGATAAGAGGGAAAAACTGGGAGAAAGGAAAGAGTTGATATTGTCCAAAAAGAAATGTACTCATATATATAATTATATATATATATATATATATATATAACATATAACTATAACCCCTCTGTTACCTTTATAATAACAAAAAAAAATTTTTTTAAGAAAGCAAAAACAGACCAAACTTGAGGTACATCGTTATTAAAATGACATCAGGTTTTTGGTTTTGTTTTTTTTTTTTTAATTGTTTTTTATTGTGAAAATACTGTACAGAGGGTTTACAGTTACATGAGCAAGGTAATGGGTACATTTCTTATCCAGAATTGTTGTCTCCTCCTTTGTTTTTCCCCTACTGGTTTTGTTTTTTTGTTGGTTGGTTATGGGGTCTGAACTCTGGGCCTGGGCACTGTCCCTGGGCTCTTTGGCTGAAGGCTAGCACTCGACCACTTGAGCCACAGCACCACTGCCATTTTTCTGGTGGTTAATTGGAGATAAGGGTCTCATGGACTTTCCTGCCCAGGCTGGCTTTGAACCTGGATCCTCATCACCACCTCCTAAGTAGCTAGGATTATAGATGTGAACCACCGGCACCCAGCTTGACACCAGTTTTTCAAATTTAAATTGGAAACTAATTTCCCAAATTATTAAAACAAAGAGAAGAAAATCCAAGTAGACTTTAAATTGTTTGTTTAAATTGTTTGATTGGTGTCAATACAGGGTCTTGAACCAGGAGCCTCCAGCCCTCTCCCCTTGGCTTTTTCCACTCAACATTGGTTCTCAACTCCTTGAGCTATAGCTCTACTTCCACATTTTTGCTAGTTAACTGTAGATAAGAGTGTTTTAGATTTGTCTGCCTGGGTTGGCTTTGAGCCTAGTCCTCAGATCTCAGCCTGTATAGCTAGGATTACAGGTAGAACTACCAGCACCCAGCTTTGTATTATTTTTAAGACGAAGACTATAAATAGCATGTGTAATATGTGAAAAAGAAGAATATAGGAAATCATGGCATGAATCCAATAAGAGTATGATTCTGAAAGTAAGATTCCAGTATTAGTCTGGATTCTCCACAGGGACAAAAACAATCAGATATATTTAATTTTACCTATAGTTATAAAAAAAAAAGATTTATGGGCTGGGAATATGGCTTAGTGGTAGAGTGCTTGCCTAGCATGCATGAAGCCCAGGGTTCCTCAGGAACCACATAAGCAGAAAAAGCCCGAAGTGGCACTGTGGCTCAAGTGGTAGAGTGCTAGCCTTGAGCAAAAGAAGCTCAGGGATGGTATCCAGTCCTGGGGCTTGAGTTAAAAAAAAATTATTAGATTAGTTTACACTATTACAGGCTGGATAATCCAACAATGGCTACCTGCACACTGGAGAATCATTAGTAGCTCAGTCCACAAATCTGGGAGCCTCTAAATAAAGGAGACTAATCAATGATGCAGCCCCAGTCTAAGGCTGAAGACCTAGAAACTCTCTGGAGAGTCATTCATGGGAATTCAAATTGAAAGCTGAAGAAGCTGGAGTCTGATGACCATGGACTATGGCAACAACAATAAACAGTTTTGCTTGGGAAGAATGAAGCCTGTACCTACTGGCTAGCTACCTTCTTTTTGAGTAGTGTGCACATCCGCACATGCGCGCACGCACACACGCACACACACACAGCACAAGCAATACAGACCATGCCAGGTTATATTTTTCAAAGATGGCTACAACAGTAGATTCCATCTCTGTGCTCATCTTACAATGTGACATTGATAACCTTCCCTTCAAATGGATCTTGAATTTAGGGTCTCCAGCTCTGCCACTTCCTCCTCCCAATTAGGATGGACTTTTATAATTACTTCAACCAACAGAATAAAATAACATTATGTGACTTCTAAAACTAAGTCAGATAAGTTGTGCACCTTTGCCTTCTTCTTCTCAGATGTTCTCTCTTGGAATCCAGCCACCATGCTGTGAGAAAACCAAGCAACGACGAGAAGAGGTGTAGTGTATGTATTCTGGCCAACAGCCCAAGCTGATGTCTCAGCCAACAGCCGGCATTAGCCACAGACACAGGAGTGAGCAAGCCTTCAAATGATTCCATTTTCAGCCACTGAGTCACTCTCATCATTCCAGCTACCCCACCACATGCCACATGTTAATAGAAAAGCATCCCAACCATTGTTAACATTCTGACACAGTTAAGAAGTTACATTTTTAAAGACAGTGAACTATTTTTCATCTAACCAAGAAAGAAGAACTTTCTTAGTTCAAAATCTACTTTTCTCATTTTCTACTGTCTCTCACTTACCTGTCCTAAGTGAGGCGTCTGAGGATTGCTGCCCCACTAATATTCCGATCTATGGATGTGTATCAAGATCTTGGGTTACAACAGCAGATGAACTGGCAGTCTTCCCTGGAAGTTATTGTAGCAGCCTCAAATCTGAAATTTTCAAGGCAAGGAAATCCTAAATACAGATACTTCTTTTCAATTTCAATATTTATAGTTCTACCTCTAGATGAATGGAGACTGAAGGTGTCTTCTAAGGTACTCAGAAATACACAGGTTTCACTAAAAATGGAATTAAGTCATATAAATTCAAGTTCCGGCTCTACTTTTTTCCTTTTTTCCTTTTTTTTTCATTTTGAGACAGGATCATGTTATGTATACAGGCTGGCTTTGAACTTTTGATTCTCCTACCTCAGTTTCCCAAGTGTTGGGCTTACAGGCATGTACCACCACACCCATCTTTTTTGACGCTACTGGAAGTTGAACTCAGGATTTTATTACATCAGCTCTGTTTGCTTGCTTGGCTGACACCCTACCACTTTAGCCAAGTCTCTAGCTGTGGTTTTTGCTGGTTATTTTAGAGATAAATTTTATTTATATTTTAGAGATAAATTCTAGTCAACTTTTCTACCTGTGCTGGCACCAAACCATGAACCTCTTAGATCTCAGCCTCCCAAATAGGTAGAAGTACATGTATAAGCCACAAGTGCCCAGTTTTGTTTTTCAAGAACTACAGAATCTTTTTGTGCCTAATTTTGTACCTAACTCATCATATGAAAATTTGAGGAGGCAGGATCAAAATTTTGGGCTGAGTTTGGCTTCAGACTCAGTTATCATTCTGTCTTAAGAACTTTTGAGGGGCTGGGAAGGTGGCTCAGTGGTTGAGTGCTTGTCTTGCATGCCTGAGGCCCTGGGTTCCATTCCTCAGCACCACATAAGCAAAAAGAAAAAAGCTGGAAGTGGTGCTGTGGCTCAAGTGGTAGAGCGCTAGCCTTGAGCTGAAGAGCTGAGGGACAGCGCTCAGGCCCAGAATTCAGGCCCCACGACCGGACCCCCCAAAAAAAAGAACTTTTGATATATCCCTGGGCTCAGTTTCATCATCTCTAGAAGGAAACGAGATAATGGTCCTTGAAATCCAATCCCTAAAGAGGTACCAGACTTGACAAAATGATGTGCATAAAGTTACCAATCACATTTACTACAAAATTGTCCTTCCATCTTTTGAGATGTGGCAGACAGAAGTGGTTTCTAGATATCTATGTAAGCATCTTAAATTCTTTTTAGAAATTCTAGTATCTATATATGAATTCTGAAAGTCCTGCTAGTTCTAATATGCTACAATAATCACTTGCTGCTCAACTAAAAATTATTAGATATCTAATATGTGACAGGTATTCTACTAGGTGATGGGGGTAGAAAAAAGAATTAGTCTCTACTGTATTAAAGCTGCCAATCAAATGCAGAAACAGATCGGAAACTTTCAATGCAATATAATGGGTAAGGTTTTCTATTAGAGATTATGATCTGTTGACATAAGGGAAAAAAGAATGACAGCAAGGGGGCAGTTGGGAACTTAACTCAGTGGAAGAGCACTTGCTTGGCAAGTGCAAGACTCCTGAGTTCAGTCTTTCGCTCTGAAAAAGAAAAAACAAGAATGATAGCTAGAATTTCAAATTTTAGTAGGGTCACCTCTATGGGGCTCAGAGGTTAAGTGCCTAATATGCACAAACAAACCACGAGCACTACAAAATAAAATAAAATTTCTAAGATGTTGAAGTGAGTTTTGTAGTTACAGCTTTCTTTTTAACCATTTTTTTTTTTGGGGGGGGGGGGGTCCGGTTGTGGGGCCTGAACTCTGGGCCTGGGCGCTGTCCCTCAGCTCTTCAGCACAAGGCTAGCACTCTACCACTTGAGCCACAGCGCCACTTCTGGCTTTTTCTGCTTATGTGGTGCTGAGGAATCGAACCCAGGGCCTCATGCATGCAAGGCAAGCACTACCACTGAGCCACCTTCCCAGCCCTTCATATTCTAATTTTGCCACTAGAAAACTGAGGCACAGAATTCAAATGACTTGAAAACTGAAAAAGTACTATACACTAGTTTAAAAGTAACATTTTAAATATTCAAAATTTAATAAAGATTTAAAATAAGAATAGGGATTGAATGAGGAAAAATGGGAGAGAACAATGAAAGTGGTGTCATTGATCAAGATGCACTGTACTCATAACCTTACATATGGAATTGTAACTTCTTTGTACGGCCACTTAATAATTTTTTAAGATTCAAAATAAAAATTAAAGATTTAAAAAGTAAATCAGGCTGCCTGACTATTTAGTCCTCTTTTTAAAAATTAACTTTATAACTTTTAAGTCTTTTTTTGTTATTGTTGGTCGTGGGGCTCAAGCCCCAACTCTAGGCTTGGGCTTTGTCCCTGCGCTCTTCAGCTCAAGGTGAGCGCTCTACCACTTGAGCCACAGCGCCAATTACTGAATAATTTTTAAAAATCAGATTTTACCATAGTAGGAAAATTTGCTCCAAATAGCAAATAGTCCTTCCTTCCTTTCTTCCTTCCTTCCTTCCTTCCTTCTTTCCTTCCTTCCTTCCCCTCTCTCTCTCTTCCTTCCTTACTTCCTTTCTTTCTCTCCCTCTCTCCCTCCCTTCCTCCCTTTCTCTCTTCCTCTCTTTCTCTCTCTCTCCCTTCCTTCCTTCCTTTCTTCCTTCCTTCCTTTCTTTCTTTCTTTCTTTCTTCCTTTCTTTCTTTCCTGTCCTAGGACTTGAACTCAGGGTCTGGGCACTGTCCCTGAGCTTCTTTCTCTCAAAGCTAGCACTCTACTACTTGAGCCTCAGTGCCACTTCTGGCTTTTTCTATCTATGTGGTACTGAGTACTGAGGAATCAAACCCAGGGCTCCATGCATGTTAGGCAAGCACTCTACCACTAAATAATTTTCTTTTCTAAAATTAATACAAAAAGTTCTTTCATTATTTTATTATTTGTGCTAAACACAAATGCATGATATACTCTTTACCCTCAAGATTCCTGTGTGGTGTCATAGTATTTTATTCACTCCTTAGCTCAGTGGTAGAGTGCTTAACTAAGATCAGTGAGACTCTGGGTTCCATCCCCAAGTATCACACGGTAATTTTGCTGTGTTACAGGTAATTAGCTAAAGGTTTATCTGCAATTTTTTTCTCATTTACTCTTTTGTTTAACATTGGGCATGCAGTTTTCCCAGGGCTTGAACTCAGGGCCTGAGGAGGGGCAGGGCGGGGAGCTCTCCTTTAGTTTTTTTGCTCAAGGCTAGCACTCTGTCACTAGAGCCACAGCTCCACAGGCAGCTTTTTGTGCTTAACTGGAGGTTAAGTCTCTTACAAACATTTCTGTCCAGCCTGGCTTTGAACCACGATCGTCAGATCTCAGCCTCTTGAGTAGCTATAATTATAGACATGAGTAACAGGCACCCAGCTACTTGCTACTTGCTCCTTTTTTTTATTTTTATTATTTCATTATGCTTTATCAGGGTTTGAATTCAGGGCTTTGCATATGTTAGGCAGGCACTCTACCACCTGAGCCACATCCATGCCTTTATTTACTTTTAATTCTACATATTACTACCTTGATTTTTCAGACTATATCTGACAGTGGCTAAGTGCCTAACATGTACAAACCATATATGGTCTTAAAAGGAAAAACCAGTTAAAAACTGAGAGGCATAAAAACTTGTTTTTCATAGTTATCTACTTTCAGAAATGGTATTTTTAAGAACAGAATTAACAGCTGGATTTCATTTCCAATAGCTGTTCTAACAAAACAATTTCAGATGTAACTTACAAAAATATATTTTTAGACAATGTGTTTCAGTTCATTTCTTCATTCCCCTGATTCTTGAACAAACTGTACTATTTTTGATGTTTTTCTTTCAATTCTAACAGTTGTGTTATAAAAAAAAAGTAAATTCGAACAAAACATGGAGAAATAATACAGGTATAACAAATGCTTTTCATATAAACAAAAAAACACATTATTAGTGAAAACACTAGTGAATCACTCACCATATGTGACCAAAATAAATACTGAAGTAAAAAATATAAAGTAGCATGTAGATTTCTAAGATTACATTTCACATTTTTCCAGGACTACATTTCAAAAAATCTTTCTGTCTCTACAGCAATACAATGAATGAAGTCTCCTTACTGTCATGTAACTGTTTTCAAGGACATCAATATTCAAATTACACTAGTCAACACATCAATGATTAGTGAAAACCCAGCATAATAGTGCTTAACTACAATTTTAGCTTTTGGGTGGTTGAAGCTGAAAACCTGAGTTCAAAACCAGACTGACAAAATATTAACCAAATACCAGCACAGACAACGTACTTAAAGTCTTCTAATTTCAAATCCTGTTTCCACTATGTTGTTTATACCAGTTCACAAAAGCACAGTACGTTAATACAACTTACAGGCTGGGAATGTGGCTTAGTGGTACTGCGCTTGCCTAGCATGCGTGAGGCCCTGGGTTCAATTCCTTAGTACCACATGATAAACAAAAAGTAAATTAAAAGAGAAAAATTATTTTTAAAAAGTAATGTTTACTATCTTTAAAACTTTAGAATCTTTACAATGAAAATATTAATGGCAAAAGATCAATATAAAGCATCCTGATCTATTTTTTATTTGTTTTGCTGGTTCTGGGGCTTAAACTCAGGGCCTGGGTGCTGTCCCTGAGCCTCTCTGTGCTCAAACTAGTGCTCTACCACTTGAGCCACAATGCTACTTCCAGCTTTTCCTGAGTAGTTTATTGGAGATAAGAGTCTAAAGGACTTTCTGGCCTGGGCTGGCTTTGAACCATGACCCTCAGATCTCAGCCTCCTGAGTAGCTAGGATGATAGGCGTGAGCCTACCAGCACCCAGCTTTTTTGTTGGTTTTGTTTGTTAGCAGTACTGTGGTTTAAACTCAGGGCTTCAAGATTGCTCTACCACTTGAGGCACTCTGCCAGCCTTTTCACAATGGTTATTTTCTTTTTTCTTTTTTTTTTTTTTTTTGGGGGGGGGGGGGGTCCGGTCGTGGGGCCTGAACTCTGGGCCTGGGCGCTGTCCCTCAGCTCTTCAGCTCAAGGCTAGCGCTCTGCCACTTGAGCCACAGTGCCACTTC